AAAATATTTTAAATAAATAAATAAATAAATAACCCACTTGGGAAATAAAAAGTAGGAGAGAGATCATTCAATGTTACAGCTATAATCTGCAAACTATTTTCTGCTAAAGAATCCAGTGATTCACAAGCCATCTGTCTTAAACACAGGAAATACATTTTACAATAAGTAAAGTCTTGGGTGAAGGTGAATGGTGGTAGAAGGCTGATTTCTCTCCTACTTTTTATTTCCCAAGTGGGTTATTTATTTATTTATTTATTTAAAATATTTTTAATCTTGCCATTTAACTCTGCTAAGCTTTCTAAGATATAAATAAAGAAATAATCATATATACAACAACAGATGATATCTGAACAAAAATTGAGTAATTCATATTTACAGCAGAACCAAAAATACACTCAGTGACTGACGATCAACAATCTGCATTTTTTGTGCTTGTGCACCAAAATATAAAGTTCAACAGGAGAATGAAACGCAGCTTACTTTATTTTGGCTGATTTTATAGACTAGTTTCAAAGTGCTTTCATTATTACCTTCATTAACTCCTGTAGTTTTGGGTCACTTCTTGAATTGGGATCAATCATTGTTCGGACTTCATTTTCCTCTTTGTAAAAAAAAAATGGAGAGAAATGAAAAAGGAAGACTCCTCATTATAAAGAAGGCATACTTATGACCAGTTTAAAGGGGAAAAAAAGTATTTCAAATTACCTAACATAGTATCTTCAGGATCTAGTTCAAAAGGAATTGGACTGAGTGGTAAATTTATGGCATTTATTCCTTCTTCCTGTAGTTCAGATACTGAAACGAAAACAAACAAAAAAAATAGTGAAATTTATCTTAATTTTTTTTTCTTGATGTTACTAACTTAATACCTGTTAGTAGCAATAAGGAGTGGACCTTTCAGAGTTTTTTCCACATTTTCTGGAAGAGGAAATATGTTAGTTGCAACAGAAAAAACAAAGGATTTTGTGGCACTTCAAACCTTTATTTTGAGAAAAACTTCTTGACTCACAGCCTTCTTCATCAAATATCAAAGCATAAGCATAATCCTGAGTTAGAAGGGTATAGCATGTATGTGTGTCTGTGTATGCATGTGTATGTGTTTAGGGTTTGGGGGACAATTGTAAAGTGAAGTGAGCAGGAAACAAAATGCAAAACTGAGAAATGACAGTTAATGTTATTAATAATGGCCATTCACAAAACGATTCTATTGTGATAATCATGCAAAAAAAATGCACCCACCCATTAAATCATTCAAAACAATGTGTTCTATATTCGTGTTTCAAAAACAGAAACTGCAGTTGAGACAGACAGACAGATAGATGATGCATACTTAAAAAATGATTGCTAGAATAAAATAATAGCCTAGTCCAAATCCCTGCTCAGTGACGGAATCTACTATAGTATCCCTGACTGATGGCCACCCAACTTTAGTCTGAGTACTTCCAGCAAAGGAGAGTCTATCACCTCCCAATACTGTCAGTTCCATTGTTACCATTAGGGGTTTTTTTTCCTGATATTCCACCAAAATCTATTTCCTTTTCATTTAAACCCATTGATTTTTATCCTATCTTCTTGAAAAACTCTGAACAATTCCCCCTAATCTTTCACAGGACAGCTCTTCAGATACTTGAGGGCAGCTTCCATGTCTCCCCACAGTCTTCTCTTTTCCAGGCTAAATATATCAAACACCTCAAACTATTCCTCATTAGTTTGTTTGTTTTCCTTTCCAGGCCCTTATCATCCTGATTGCTCTTTTCTGGACATACTCTAGTTTGTCAATCTATTTTTCCAAAATGTGATGTCCGGAACTGGACCCAATATTCTAAGTGTGGTCTATCCAAAGCCAGAGAGAAGAACAGCAGCTTCTTTTGATCTTGATACTATACTTGCAGCTTAGCATTTCATTTGCATTTTTGCAGCTATATCACACTATTGGCTTATGTTCAATTTTAGAATCCATCAAGATGCCCAGATCTTTTTTGCAATTTTTGTTGCCTAGATTGATCACCACATTCCATTGCCTTTGATTTTTCCTACCCAAAGGTAGGATTTTGCATTTGTTCATAAAGTACTAAAATTCAACTTCCTGATTTCTGCCCACTATTTCAGTGTGTCAAGATCCTCCTGAACCTTGATATTATGTTTCCTAAGATGTTTGCAATCTTTGTGTCATCTGCAAATGTGATCATCATATTTTCTAAACTCTAGCCAAAGTCATTTAGAAATATGTTGAACAACATAGGGCCTAGAATGGCATAGAGAGCAAAGAAGATGATCCTGACAGAGATATGCAGGAACTGTTACCTAGGCCAAAGGCTGAAGCATTTTTAAAGTCCAGAATGAGATAACATTTGGAAACAGCTCAGGCAGACGCTTTCCTAATGTGCTTAACTATAAGAAAGTAGATGAGGTACAATATGATCAGATTTGCAAGATTCTGTTATTATAGCCAATCTCAACAAAAGTTATTTTAGCCTTCTTGTGGACTTGATTTCCTGGTCTGGTCTACCTAGTGGGGCTGACAAATGGAGCCCTGTGATATGCCAACTCTTTCATCCAAGCTGATGTGGAACCAATGATGTACTCTCCTTGGGTGCAATTCTTCACTCACCTCGGTAACCATTTAATGGTAGCATAGTCCCACCCACATTTTCCCATCTTCTGTACCAGAATCTCATGGGAAATTTTGTTGAATACTTTATGTTATATCCACTGGAATCCCATGATCAACTAAACTGGTCACTCTACCAAAACTGGAGATCAGGCTGGTTTGGTATAATTTATGCTTGGTAAACCTTTGCTGGCTCCTGCCAAGCAATGCATTCTTTTCTAAATGCTTACAAACTCACTGCTTAATATTCTGTTCCAAAGTTTTACTCAGTATCTGTGTTAAGCTGACTGGTCTGTAGTTATCTGGCTTCTCTTTTAAAAGACAGGAATAACATTTTCCCTTCTCCAAACCTCTGGCACTATATCCATCCTCCATGATTTCTCAGAATGGGACTTCACCAAAAGGGGCTTCAAGACGACATCTACAAACTCCTTCCAGGCTCTCAAATGTACTGTAACTGGTCTGGTCATGAAGACTTGAACTTGTTCATGATGGCCATGACAGCCCTAATCATCTCTTTACCTGTGTTGGTTTGCCACTCCCTCCTTTTGTCAATTGTTCTGCTTAGGTCAATTATAATTCAGCTCCCCTTTGGGGAGAAGACTAAGGCAATGTAGGAGCTGAGAGTCCAGCTTCTCCTTGTCATCTGTTACTCTCCCACCATCTTCTGTTTTCAGACCTTTCCCTTTTCTTCCTTTTAATTACTGATGTATCACAAATCCCCCCCCCTTTTTTTCCTTTTAGCTTCCCTTATGAGACTAAATTCCTTTTGCACTTTAGCCTTCCTAACTTTCTTTCTTGCAGATATTAGCTACCTGCCTGGTACACCTCTTTTAACTTTAGACAAGTTCTTTTTGTATTTTGATTATGTCCCATTAACTTGTGCTAGCTGCCCAATTTTTTCCACTGGAATAGTGTGAAATTGTGCTTCCAATATCTTATTTCTGAAAAGTTCCCCACTTCCCCCAATCCTGAGGATTTCTGTCTACAGGATACCACCTAGTACTTATCTGTTGAAATTGAGTCTCCTGAAATCTTGTGTGTATGCATGACTATACTCCAATTTCTTTCACTGGGATCTTGAACCCAACTTCCTTCCAAAGTTTCTACCACTTTTTACTCTTCAACCAGCTTTTCCCTGTTGATTAGGAATGTGTCCAGGAGAGCTAATCCCCTAATCTCATTTTCAGCCTTTTGAAAAATAAAACCATCAGCAAGACCACTGAGGAATTTCTAGGACCTTGCAGTCTTGGCCGAGTCAAGAAATGGCAGTTGAAGTTTCCCATTATTACTATGTTTCTCCTCCCCTGGAAGTTCTCTAATCTGGTCTTAGAGGCATTATACATGTCTTCTGCTGGACTTGGTGTTCTATAGCATTCTCTCTTTCCTTGTATTCTTACTCCAATGTTCTCAATTGGCCCTTCTTGTTCAAATTCCTAGATTCAACATATGCCTGCACTTGCTTCACATATAATACCACTCCCCCCGTTTTAATCTAGTTTATTGTTATACCCCTCAATCCTTGCATTCCACTTGTTTCGTTCCCATCAAGATTCAGAAATGCACACTAAATCTTAATGACCTTCCAGCATTAAAACTGAATCAGATTTCCAAGGCTCCTTCTTCCCAGTTCTTGTGAGGCACAGTCTTTGCTTCTCATCCTGAATATGTGCCCCAGGAAGGCAACACACTTATCTTGACAGACTATCCAGCTAACAGATTGCAGCTTCTAACCCCCTCAGTAAGAAGTCCCTGATTGCCAACTTGAGGGCAGAGGCAGGAACCCTTCCATTTACAGAATCTGTGCAGAACCCTGGAGCAGTCACTTTTCATCCAGGGTCCAGAAATATCCATGGTGAGGCCCTGTTCTGAAGCTCCACAGTTGAGCTCTTCTTGAGAGGCTTGTGTTTTTATGTCATATTCTTTCATCTCTTCCTCCCATCTGCTTGGGCTTTTTTCCCACCTATCTTCTGGAAGGCTTCTTGATGCCACTGTCCCTCAGCAAGCACTGCCTGTGTCTGATTCAAGAATTCTCCCTCTTCCTTGATAAGCTGGGTGTGGGTAGTTTTTCATCTAGCCCTCTCAGGAGAACAGCTTTAGACCTAAAGCAAGTAGTGCCTCTCTGCTATTTATTAAAGCATTCACATCCTTTTTCAGGTTTCTGCATGATCCTGAATAAATGCCATTAAAGAATCCACTCATTAATGTGTCCCTTATAGCAATGGCACCTTTTTTCTCAGGCTCAAGCTGTTTTGCAACATTTCATCTCTTTACAAAATTACCACATTCCAGATCTGTTACAACTCCCACAGCTACGTGAGGCATGAAATTATGATACGGGATTTAGCTTACAAATACAGGTAGTTCTCGGTTAACAACTACTTAGCGACCATTCAAAGTTGCGACGATGCTGAATGAGTAGAACTTATGACTGGTCCTCAAAGTTCCAGGGGGTCATACCACCCCCACAGTCATATGACTGTGATCTGGGTGCTTGGTAACCAGCTCACACTTACAATAGTTGCAGCATTCCAAGGTCACGTGATCGCCATTTGCAACCTTTCCTGCCAGCTTCCAACAAGCAAAGTCAATGGACAAGTCTGCAGGGAAGGTTGCAGTTTACTCCTGCTACTTTTTCTCCTGAGGAGTATGAGATCCACAGCACCCCCTCCCCAGCCCGCATGCACTCATATGACACCGCAGCAAGCCCTCCCCAGCCTGCACGCACTTGCACGGCACCACAGCAACCCCTCCCCAGCCCACACACACTCACTGTAGCACCCTGCTCCTCACTCTGTAGTACCCACCCACCCTCCGGTCTGCTTGCAAGCCACCCAGGAGTTGCAACTTCCAGCTGGCTTCTCCACTGACTTTGCTTGTGGGAAGTCGGCAGGAAGTCATGTGAGGTCCTCACTTAACGACCCACGAACCTCGCTTAACAATGGCAATAGGGACTGTTAGGATTGCTGCTAAGTGATGTGGTCATGTGATATTGCACTTTACAACTGCATTGCTTAGCGATGGAATTTCTGATCCCAATTACCATAGTTAAGCGAGGACTACCTGTAACCCTTAAACATTGCAAATCTAAGATACCAGTTCTGATTCCTGGAATCTCATGTAGCAGAAATGATTGAAATGATTATGGACAGTACTCAACAATATAAATTAATGGGCTAGAATC